GAAATCTAGAGCAACTGGGGAGGAAAGGATGAAAATGGAGCTGGGTTCACAGCCTGAATGATTTCACAGATGATGTTTTCCATAACATGAAAGATTTAGTCATTTGCTTGTTCTACTGTAGAATCTTAGATCACTCAAGGAAACACACTGTAAGCCAATATATAACAAGGAGAAGTTAAGATTTGCCTTCATTAATTAATTTTTTTTTTTCATCACACATATGGGTACCCAGAAGCCAGTAGAAACAAACCATAATCAATTCATATTTAACAAAAACCTTTGGCTATTTCAGCCCTGACTCTGTAACACAATAAAAAAATACAAATTTACCACCTGAATGAGACATGAAATTGTTAAAACAATTTTTTTTTACACATCCTTTGTACAAAACAGTCTTGTCCTAATATCTGCTCAAGCAAGGTTGCCTAGATCCAGTTGCCCAGGACAGGGTCTTGATGGCCTCTGAACATCTCTAAGGAGACTCCAACCTGTGCCAGTACTTGGGCATCCTTACAGTTAAAAATTGCTTTCTGTTGTCCAGAGGGAACCTCCTACCTTTCAGTTTGTGCCCCATTGCCTCTTGTCCTGTCACTGGGCACCAGAAAAAAAAAAAAAAAAAAAAAAGAGCCTGGCTCCATCTTCTGCATACCCTCTCTTCAGGTATTTATATACATTAAAAAGATTCCCTCTGAGACTTCTCCAGGCTGCAGTCTCAGCTTTTTCAACCTTTCCTCATAGAAGAGGTGCACCAGACCCTTCATCATCTCCATGGCCCTCTGCTGAAGTCTATCCAATATGCCCATATCTGTCTTGTGCTGGGGACAAGACAAACACCAAGACGACCAGGTTTCTTCTGCCAAGCTGCATTTTAGCTGAGTGGCCCCCAACATATACTGCTGGTCCCTGGGGTTTTTCTTACCCAGGTGCAGGATTTTCCACTCCCCCATGTTGAACTTCATGAGGTTCCTGTCAGCTCACTTCTGATATTTAATACCATAAAACAAGGTATAAAACAAATGGGAGACTTGGATGAACAGTTGCATGAAGAAAGTTTCTTCTGTCAGGAAAAGAAAGGGCTTTCAGGCATGCGAGTTCTTTGCCACCCTATTTGTAGCCACTATAGGAACACAACGTAACAAGTCTTTTACAAGAAACCACCTTCACATAGTGATAATGAAATAACTTAATTAGAGACCAAAATAGCCTCTTAAGTATGGGCCAAGAGAAAGCCACAAACTTTTAGAAATAAGCTTTTGAAAATTATTCATGATGGATGCCTTGATATAATGGTATACTCTTGTCTATTTTTTCATACTTTAACCCACCTGCAACTGTATAAAAAAAGAAATGGCCCCAGGAATATTTGAGAAAGGAGTGCAATGGCAATTTCCATGTGCTTAATAGAAATTGGCAAGTGATACCCTGGAATGCTAAGGAAGCCAGCACCTACTTAGCAACATGCTAATCAGAATGGTGGTGAGTCACATCAAGGACATATTCACTAGATGTGGTATTTGTGACAAACTATTTCCCAAAATAGACCCTGCTTCTATAGGTCTTCAGCTGTGTGCATTTTAATGAGCTGAAGTCTCAAATAAATAATGATTCTGTAACAGTCTCTTATAGCCTGAGATTTAAATCAGGACCTAGTAAATCAGAGGCAAGAATTACATGAGAGCCACGTAAAGTCTACCATGGTCAGTGGTGGCTTGATACGATCATTGAATGGATGGAATAACTAGACATATAAAAATAGCTAAATAAATTAGTGGACAGCAATTAAGACAGAATTGAAAATATTTAAGTGCACTTAAAATACTAGGAACAAAGACTTAATGGTGAAAACACTGCTTGCTGTGCTGATCCAGCGAATAAGGAAAATGTGACTGCAATGGGTTGTACAGAGTGGATGGAGCTGCTCCTCAGACTCCCCAGGCACAGTCCTCATACATCACTGTGGCTGCATCAGAAGGCACAAGAAAGAAATAAGAAAGTGAATCTTCAGAGCAAAAGTACTAAAATGCCTTAATGCTTCTATTCCATATTAATATTTGTCTTGACACCTCCAATTTTTTTGCCTATAAACAGGCAGGCACCTTGTCCAGTCAGACAGATGGTGCTTAGAGAGAAGAAATGGGCTTCACTCTGACACTGAGCGATGTGCACCTCCCAAATGAACCTCCTGAGACAGCAGAGTGGACATGTGTAAAAAGCCATTTAGTTTCCTGTTGGAGAGCAGGTATCAACACATTTAAAACCTGAATCTTAGAAGTCTGGGCTCACAACTTTTTAAAACATTTGTGAATCCTAAAACTAACACCTACTGGGCACTCCCTTCATCAAGCTGCTTTGCAAGCTTTGTACAGCTTTCAGCAGCAAGAAAGCAGTCAGTCCTTATGGAATTGGTGTTTTCTCCCTTTCCTGGACAGCAGGAACTATGCTCAGCAGGCTTTTCCCAGCTAACCACATCACAGGCTGCTTTCTATGGCCTGAGGTTCATAATTTCCAATCCTGTCTGTCCTCCTCTTGTTTTATCACATTCCAGTGAATTTCATTGGATAAAACAATGTACTGCACTTGTTATGTGCAGGTTTGAGTTTGAACAATAGGGTAAAATGTGGATAATTTTATAATTCCTATATTATTATAGACCTAGCGAGAAACAAATCTTCAGACATCAAATAATTCTCTATCATAAACCAGGGGAAATTGGTATAATTTGGAAAAAAAATACTGTGGTCTCTTGAAACACCAAATGTTTATTTAATCAGTTACTATAGTGAGAAAATATTACTCTTTCCAGGAAAGGTATATTGCATTTTACACCATTTGTAATAATAAAGCCATATGCTGCAGAGGGACTTTAGATACATTTTTGGCTTTACTGGCAAAGACAGGGATTATTTTACTCCAGGTCATTCAATAAAGATTACACCCTTACATATTGTTCTGTGTCCAAGTTGCATGTGTCTGCCTGTTTCACAACAGATGGCTGCATTTCAGAAGTTTTATAGAAAGGTTGTATATGGAAGGTTGAAATAAAATATTCCATGTAGTCCAGATACCTCCAGTTGCTTGTATGTTTGAGTTGCATTCATCAAGCTTGATGTCATGCAGGAGAATTTTTCAAGTATCACTTTCTAAATTTGTTTATTTGAGTCCTGGGTCAAGATTTATTTGGGGTGGTCACAGAGAATGTAAATTAAATGTATTTCATATGGTGGCATATCAGACATTTGTTTATGAGTATTCCAGGTAAACACAAGAAGAAATATGATGCCTCAAAATATGGTTCTTCTGTTTTAAGGGTAAAAAAAGCACAAGTAATTATGAGAAGGGAGCCTTAACCCCTGATTCCAAGCTTTGAGTGAGTGATTTCTCATGCCAGTTTTTTTTTTAAGAGTCTTTTTTCTACCCATCTTGCAAGGATATTAATAAGATACATGGCACATTTTTTTTTTCCCCCATTAAATACCAAAGTAAATATGTTATTATTTGATTCATGGAGATAAGAATTTTTTTCACTACTCTTTTAACTATAGTTTTTTCCACCTAAAGTTTCTTCTTGGCTTGTGCAGTAATTGTTGGTTTTAAACCAACAGACACAGAGAAGAGAGTGCTACTTGAGCATTAGGGTTTTGGCTCTAGTGATTCAGTAATTTTCTTCTGTTTTGCCTCTGTGCTTTGCTACAGAGAACACCTGATCTCGCTTCCTTTGGCCTTTTGTCACCAAAGATTCATGAAGAAACACCTCGGGCCTAACGAGGAAGCTGTGTAAAGCCTCAAAGCTAAAGATCAAAGTGAATAATGACCTAATACACCAAGTGTATCCACCGCAAAACAAACCCCAGGGAAACAGGCTTCAGAAAGGGCTGCTCAACTTCGCTTCTCTCGCTTGTAAAATCCGCTGCTGCTGCTGAATCACAAGCCCACCCACATTTTTTATGGCTGGTGTTGATGAAGTCCTTTGTATTGCTAGGAGCCTGAGTACAAAATGCTGGATTAAAAAAGAAAAAAATAAATAAATTACGGCTGTTTGGGGGAGAAAAAAAGGAGCGAAACCCGCGGTTTCACCCCTCCTGCAGAAGCACATCTTGCCTGCCTTCCTTCCTTTCCCCCGGGCTGAGGTCAGAAGGGGCGGCTCGGGCCGCTGTCCCGGCTCCCCTGGGCCGCTCTCACGGCCCCGGGGAACGGGCCGGGCGGGCAGAGCTGCCGGCGGGAGGCGGCACGTCCTGCTCT